TGGATTCAATATGAATTTATTCTTTAATCCTGCGTTAGTTTTAAATGTGGGAATCCAATATTATGGTGCTTTCGGTGCGTCACTGATCACAAGTTGTTCAGATTATTTAAATTCATATTAATCTCTTTATGTCAATTGGATTCATGTTGTGTTGTCAATTTTATGGACGCAATTTCAGTTATGTGGATTCCGTGATTAAATATGTTACTATGATAACAATGGGCCCTAATTTATGCCATGATAATGGATTCATATTGATATGTTCATGAAGATTGATTTATTTGCTGCAACTGTGCAACTTGGGTATTTATGATCTTGAAGTTCATTTATTTGAATCCTTTCAGCATAGACAAATTATTTGCATAACCTGATATAGTATTATGTGAATTAAAGATTAAGCCCTAAGTCTACTTTTTGGGTCTTAGAATTTTAAATTTTGGATTCGAATATTGGTATAAAGTTTTATATATTTTGAGATAGATTAATTGAAACAACATGTCGCCAAAGCGACCTCTTTTGTGTAAATTAATTTATTTAGAAATATTGTTTTTATGAGTAATATTTTTCTTCAATTAAATGTCTTATTTCAAACATACCCTTAGTTTGCAATTATTGCGAGCATTTTGTTAATTAGCATAATTGAGCAATGAAATTTTAATTAGGGTAAAGAATTATTTGAAGTTTTGTGCTGGGCAAGATTTCACCATTTACGTGTGTCCATTCATATAATTATGAACCATGTGTTGCGTTATATTTTGGGATTTTTGTTTGATCACAAAGTTCTGTGCAACCATATATGCAAAAAAAAAATGGTGGAAATATTGGATATATTTTATTGATGTTACATAGCTCAATTTATGATCATCTTTATAATATGGTTGGATGAGAAGATAGAATTGTGTGATTATGTAAATGATGGAGTACTAAAAAAAAAAATTATCTATCCAAATGTTTAAGATTCAATTTAATACTAGTAGTCTCAGAAGGATACTACTATTAAATATTGATGGATAGAGCAATTAGAACAATGTACCGGTTGTCTGTAAGATGACAATCAATATTTTATTTATCGATAGCTTATAAGTTGACAATGAAATTCTTGTACACTTCCTGAAGGATCTTTTACAAGTTAACGATAATGTTTTTTTTTATATACTCCCTGATGGATCAACATCGATGTAAGTATCTCCCATGAATTCAGAATAAAGTTTTGGTATACTCCCTGTAGGATTACACCAATACAAGTATCAAAATAACATAATGACTACACTGTGAGCAAGTCTTGATGACTAATTTTGAATTAAGATGTTATCGATTATTTTATGATTTGTTATGAACAGTTTGTATTCCTGAAGTAATACATGGGAATAATGAAATCCAACCAAATCAATATTCATGGACACAATATATTACAAATAGTGATATAAAAGTAGTTTATTGAGATTGTATTAGTGCCAGAAGCACATATACAAAAGTCTAATTGTCATATAAGATATCTGATAGAAAATTGTCTCTCTTCTATATGACTATATGTTTCATTGGTTTAATTGTCTTATATGAGCATCTCTTGTTTGATATGCATCATATCATTCTTCACATTACTTGTTAAGATTTGATAGTGGTAATACACGTATGATATGTGTAGCAGACATTATCCTATGGGTAAGAATTATTTTAAATGATGAATGAAAAAAATATTATATATCTTATGTAATGAAATCACTCATATTTCAATTGTCATACTTCTGAAGAGTTATAAACTAAAAATGTCCACATATATAATTAATTTGTCCATGCATCTGATTACTCATGAAGCA